CATTGAGCCTTAAGTTTTTTTCCGTTTTTTTTTACATTTTTTTCTGAAGATTTCATAACTCGATATGTTACGTAAATCGTTGCACAGACTATTCTAATAGAAGATTAATTGAAAGATCGGTAATCTCCCCACCTCTAGTTTAACAATTGGAAGACTATATTCACGAATTATACGAGTATCTCGTGTTGATCTGCGACATTTACCTATACCAATTCCGAGGAAGCTGTTTTCTTTTTTTCCCTTTATATATTTGAAGCCCTCCAATAGAATCTGTTTCTTGTAAATTTCACTAATCTTGTCAATATTATCGGTGGAATTAGTCATATACTAATTCCATAAAGTTTAAATTATAAATTGAACGCGTGTAACGATTTTTTTGCCATCTGAAGTTTATTAAGTATTCGAACTAGAACAAATTCTAGTGTTACCTAATATTCTAAAAATTCTTCTATAAGAGTTAGAATGTGTGTGGTCCTATAGTTACAGATGCTGCATCTAATTTGAAGAGAGCAACATACCTTTTAAGGATGGAACATCACTTATGCTTAGGCCATACCCTTCACAATGTTGTTATTATAGATGAATGCTGAAAGATACAAGTGATACATTATTTGCTTGTTAAATGTAGAGCCATGGAGTAATCCAAGGGGTTGTCCAATCCATGGAGTCATGGAGTCCCAATGCTTTCCATGCTTTAAGACTGGCCCGGCATCTGAATGGGCCCAAGCTGCTGGGGTGACAGTTAACCGGGGAGATGACGTCGCCGTTTTCTCGGATGTTTCCTTTCAGGCATCTGCTCTGCACCTTCAGACTATGATCGACCATTTTATTTTCTTTTATTTTAAAAAATTATTTTGTGTATTGTAAACTTATACAGTTTTACTGTAGAAAATACACAAACGACTTTTTTTTTTCATTTTACATATGTCCCACTCTTTAATCCATAATAATGATAGCAAATTCAAACACGGGAAGGACCACAATGCATTTCTGATTTTAAAAATGTATCAGCAAAATACATACGATATATAATCAGACATTGCAGAAATGTAAGATTACAAAACCTAGAATACAATATATATAGTAGTGGTCAAAACTTTAGGAACTAACTTACAATAAAATTTAAAATAATTAACCTATAATAATAAACTAAATCTGTTAAATAAAATACAATAACTAAAAGTAAAAACTACTTTATTTAATTACTTCAGTATATACAAATTATGTATTGCCCTGCAGTCCCGGATGATACAGTATTTTGATGCTTTTTTTTCGGTCATAATTCGCGTTTACGCCATAAAATTTCGTACTGTAAAACGACCGGAGGAAATTTACACTGCAACCGATGAGAATTCAAACACCTAACCAGACGCAAGTGCGATGTGTTGATTGGTTGGTGTACAGGCGATAGAGTACACGCAACCGCCAGGACCGCTCGCAGCAGTTGAACTTGTTTTTCTTGTCACTGTCCATCCCATCTATAATTAGGGTAATGTACTGTACATTCGTTAATAGCGGTCGCTCCACCAACACGGGCGTGCGCTGTTGCTTGTAGGTATTTGGGAATGACGGTGAAAGAAAGAAAAAGATGGCGGCGCCCGTTTTAACGTGCGATTTCAAACTTCTAAATTTTCATTCATAAAACCACCTAACGGACACGGAAATGAAACTATCTGAGCCATGGACGACGACATGTTGTTTTCCATCATAAACCATTAATACAAGCTTTTTAAGTATGAAAGTGATACATTTTACTTAACAGTGGTGTTGTATGTTTGCATTTTAACCGGTCAAAGCTATCTGATGTAATTAGATTATTTAAATAATTAAGCTCTTTATTTATGTAAACGACTTAATAATTATCGTTAATTATAAATATTGTAACACAGTATTTGGAATTATTTTATTAATTAATTTGTGAAATTCTTATGCTATGTTAGCCAATTTTGCCACCCCTCAAAATCTGCTGCTGTAGGCCCGAGCCTCTACTGTGCCTATTTATAAATCGGCTCTGCACAAAATTGAAACAAGTAACAGAAATCATGGATCGCAAATTCTAAGGGAGTTATACCAGTATAATGACTTTGAAATGTTAAGTAGTTTGAAAGCTAACAGAAAAACTACTTGAAAGATTTGGAAAATAAGATTTGAAGTTACAAATGGAAACTTTTGTATGAACTTTGACTGTCTGATGTAGTTTAAAATTACTGCGTGCCTATTCTCAAAACCAGATGATCAGACAAGAAATCAGCATTAAATGTTGTATGAATTTTCAGGCAAGAGATATAATCATCATTAAAAGCAAGCGACGAAGAGAGCAGGCTCTCTTCGTCGCTTGCTTTTAATGATGATTATTATTCATTCTCTGAGAGAATGAAATATTATTCATTCTCTGAGACAAGTACACAAAGTGTTTTCAATATGCATCTATAAGAAATGAAAGCAGATTTTCATTGAATGATCTGATAATTCTTGCTACGTTGTTAGATCCTCGTTTCTTAGAATATCAGTAGCATTGAAAGTTATTTATTCGCCAAGAACACAACTAAGCCCGAGTTACTTTGTGGCAAAGTTATAAAATATGTCATAGATTCTGGCATACAAGAAGGTACAGATGGAAGATTACGTAAAGATGATAAAGGACTAGTATGGCTCAAAGATTTCCTCCTCATGACTCGCATCAATATGCTATTGCATATTCTTCAAGTTCGGAAAGTGAAATAGCTGCAGAATGCCACCTTTTACAAGGTTTCATTCTTTCTTCTACGGCTATGAGAAACCTGTCCATTCTTTTTTCATGGAAGGATAGAACAATCTTCAGTCCTCGACTTACTAACCCAGCAAGTAAATATTATTCATTCTCTGAGACAAATACACAAAGTGTTTTCAATTGTAGGATTGATACTGAGAGCAAAAAGGGCTTGGCTCCATTCACAAACCGTGGTTAAAAAAATAGGCCTGTTGTATTTATTCATGCTAAGATTTCTTTAATCAGATTGAAATAAAATATGGAAAAAGCCTCTTATTTATTTTTGAATCGATAATAAACCAGTTAGAGATCTTGAGTGGGGGAGAGTGGAAAGACTTGATTACTAGGGAGAGCAAACGCAAAGAGATACTATATGCTTATGTGTTTTTGAATATTGTGTCGTATTTTCTATAAAACAGCAAAAGGACCAAGTCAGAGCTTTTCCCAGGATTACACCGATAGATTTTCTAATGTTTACATCTTTAATTTTTCGTAGGTTTGAGAAAATAGGTCTTTTATAGTTTATTGGTTTCTATAAACCAGTAGAGTTTTTTAAAAATCATGTAGAAATCATTTTTTTCCCTTGGTTGTATTCTTTGAACGTCTGATAAGTTATTTTCGGATAAGGTAACTAGATTTCCGGAGATTCAATTGAATACAAAATGTAATATATGCCAGATCTAATTCTGTAGATTAGTGTATTCAGTTTTAAATTACTTTATCTACTAAATTTCTAGCGGATCTACCAAGAAATGAATTGAAACTTAGTTGACTCTGCCGCCGTAAAATGTCTGCGTCACTGGCCTTCAGAAATTGTCAGTATTGTCGCCGCTAGGAAACAAGTTGGCGGACATGTCTGTTCGCAAGATCTAAGGTTTTCACTCATAAAATATACATTTTTACGTCAATTTGACGTCTTTCTTAAATTTGTCTATTGTAAATCTGAAGAATGGAATTGACGTTAAAGTGTGTAATTTCCGGACGAACAGGGGTCTGGTTTTGTTTACGCTCCCTCTACCATTATATGTTTTCAAGTTTTCTACAGTAGGCCTATATCGTGTAATACTAGCGGAATTTATTTATTATTTATTGTACTTTTTATCATAAAATGTATTTAAATTTTTAAAATTTAAATACATTTTAATCATTTCAAACATATTGCAGACTTCAGATTAATAAAACGATCATGTAGTCTAATAGTTAATTTACATCGTCATGAAAAAATAAAGCATAGATTGGAGCAAAATAATTCTAAGTTTATGTACATTATGAAGCACACTTAATTATTTTATATAATTCTTAAATGGAACATTAAAAATATGCTCTAATCTTAATTTTATGCATATTATTTAAATTATAAATTTTCTTTTTATTAAATAAATTTAATTTTTAAATTGGATATAAAAACTTTTGTTCTCAGTAAAATATTGCATTCACAAATTTATAATTAGATTAGAAAATTAAATCTAAATTGATTTCTATTATTAGTTACTAATATATTTGGAAATTAATGACACTTTACAATAAATATTTAACTAATAAATAAAGTTATAAATTATTACTTAACTTGATTTTTATTAAATTTTTTAAAAAATAAACAGATTTTTAAAAATAAAACTTTATGTAATTAAATAAGAAATTATTTTATGAAGAATTACACCTTTAATATAAGATTAAATCCAATTTTAAATGATTTAAGTCTTTATTTTTAATGTAAAAAACTTTGTATATGTAAAAATTACGAATTTATATTTATTCTACGTTAAATAGTATAATTATATTTAATTCTCTTACTGAATTTAAGGATACTTTAATTTTTTTTAAATGAGTTTAAACCGAATTATGTATAGAAAATTTATTCGACAGACATCTAATGAGATTTTTTAACATAATATATTCTCGAATGGAATGTCCCAACTATAAATGAAAGCAATTAAAAAAAAAAAAAGGGAACTGAATATAGGTTATTGACTTCAACATCACACAGTGGAAGCTTATATACAGGAGATATTCACGCTTAGAACATTCCCAATGTGTATAAATTCGAATGGTAACATCTAACGAGAAGATTAATGGCAATTAAGACAGAATAAAATCCATAATTTAGATATTATATGCTGTAAAAACTTTCCGTCCTACGTTAGCCATGTCGGACTAATTACAACGTTCGTCCGTCCAATACCATTAACGAACGTATTTTTATTAGCCGTTTTTTTTTTTTGGTGCGTCATTTCCGAATTTAGCCGATCTCTTTCCGAAGTCGAGTATAGAAAATTTCTATCGAGTCCGAACCGGTAGTGATTCCTTGATCAGGGTCATTCGGACATCTTCGGGATGATGTCCGAGGGATCGGTGACGTCACCGAGTCATGCCGGATGACGTCACAAGACAAGAAGTCCAAAGAAAAATGGCGTCTTGTTTGTGATGTTGACGAGCAAACGAGTCGAAGCGGTTCCGTACAGTTATTCGTTAGCCGATAGACAACTCAGCCATTCAGCACCGAAGTCATGACTGCGAATATGTACAGAGTTGGCGGTAAGAACATTTTTATTTTCCAAGTGTTGTTTATCGATGTTGACCACGTTAGGCTTAACTCTCATAGAAAAAGCATCCCGAAAGAAAGAAAGTCCAATGTTTGGACTCTACATGAGTTTATACCGGAAACGGTTTTTATTTTATCAATTCGACTGTTGTGATTCACGCAAAAAAACATCTTTCTTCTTTTTCTTCTCCGTCATCAATTAGTATTTTTAAACGTTTTAAAAATCTCTTCAATNATATAATTAAAAACTAAGTTTAAATTAAATCTATTAACTTACTATATATTAATTCTATTTTGATGATACAAGTTTGCATTATTAATTATTTGTTGTTAAAAATTTGCTTGATTACTATAAAAAAATTATTATAGAAATATTTATTTATGAACAAATTAAATTTTGTTTTTTCATTTTTTGAGCACAGATACAGATTGTTTTAGTATATTTGATATGATTTAAAATTGTCTTATATATTTTTAGTTTGTTTCTCGTTTCTTTGGATTTTTTGATTTAGACGGAATGAGTACGTAATTTAGGGATTATATTTTATTATAAATTGTTAATGATTAACTGTTGAACGTGTCTGTTCAAAAGTTTTTAATTGTTTAGCTTTAGACAAACTAGATTACTGTTAATTAAATTAATTTAATTTCTTTTTTTTTTTTATTTTGTCAAGTAAGATAGAAAAATATTTATCTGATTGGATATTATAAAAAACTTTACATATACATTTTAGATTAATATTTGAAGCAATTTATATATTATTATATATTTTTTTTTAACCTACATTATGAATTTTTTAATTATTAGTAACTGTTATTGTAGGATATTAATAAGTGGGTAAATTCAGAATGAAAAATGCATATTAATAAAAATCACTTAATTTTTATTAGAAAAAGAAGAAAAATTGAAATGTATAAACTTTATGAATAATCATTTTATAATAATTATAAAATCACATATTCCAGTTTTCAAATATTTCAAAAAATATGAAATATTTTGATGAATGACAGTTTCAAGAAAAACAAACTAAATTTTACTTTCTTATAAGAAATCAAAATGTTATTGGTTTAACATTTTAAAACTTATTATGAACAAAATATTGTAATTATATTTTTAAAATGATAAAAATGAAAAAATGAACAATTACTTTATGTATTAGTTACTTGAAAGGGTAGATAAATATTAAGGATCCAAATATGAATCCTACTTACTAAAAATAGTTTGACATCAGTAGCTTGAAAAGTATACTTTTAATTTCAGCATACAAAATGTTTTATAATTGACTTTTAATTATTTAGTAAAGTGATTTTAGTCATCTATTGATGATAAACAGAATGCATTAGAGTTTCTTAATTTTATTATCATTACTTTTAACTTTTAGCAGACAGGCTCTTAAAGAAAGATGATTACATTGAAAACATATATAATTTTTGATATATTTCAAGTAGAAAATACAATGAATGAAATTTATTCATTTATTTGTTAAATAATATAGGTAATGTTCTAAACGACAAGAGAGAATTGTCCGATAACAAATTCTTAGATTAAATGCAAAATAGCAGCAACAATAAGTGCAAAAAAGTAGAATAAACAGTAGTAAATTTATATAACAAATTGAAGATTATTCTTTAGTTATTGCTGCATATTTTTTGACTACTATAATTAAAGCTAAATAATCTTTTTAATGAGTTATCATTCTCATTATCACTGAATTTAAAGAAATAAATAATTAAAATATTTAATAAAACATGATTATATAAATATTTGCTATTGAATTTAAAATGCTTACTATTAAAATATATTTATTAATTATAAAATATGCATAAAAAGAAATTTAAAACACAGGAAAAACACATACTATATTTTTTATAGGAAATGTTTCACAAAAATTTCTTGTGAACCAAATTGCACATATACATAAACATTATCTTACATGATATTAAAATTATCAATTGTAAATTAAAACATTGTTTAAAACATAGTAAAAGACAACAGATTAAAAATTTTTAATAACTGGATTAATTGCTATTATTCAATCAATAAAAGACTTTAGTCTATTATTTAATTCTTGATATACTGACTCCTTAGATTTTCAAAAAACAAAAAAAAAGTAATTGTAAATTTTGCTTTAAAATTTTAATTTAGAGAAACAAAATTTTTAAATGTGAGAATTTATCAAGGCCTAACTTTAATTTGTTGATTATCCAGTATATGAGACAGTATAATAAACAATTACAATTACTATAACTAAATAATTTTTCTAATTATTATAAATTGTATTTATACAACATTTTTCAGTATGATAAATTTTTTTGCTTTGCTTTAAAATATTGGAAGTTTATTTTGACTTTAACTTCATTCTAAATTGAAAAATAAATAAATAAAAATATAGTTAGTTAAACAAATCAGATTCACATCACTCAATTATTAATTTTAATTTATTATTAGAAAACTTATTTATGAATGAATTTAACAATATGCTTATTCATATAATAAAACCCTTAATTTATATTTGCTTGCATAGTTATCAAAAGGGTCATTTTCAAATTGAAGAAAGTATTAAATTATCAAATGTTATGATATGATAATGAAAAATATTCTTTATATGCTGGTTGGATTAATTAGATTAGCATTTATTAGATCTTATAAAAAATAAATATGAATAATTAATTTTTACTGAATTTTCTAGGTTATAACTGAAAAATTTTAACAACTAAATTACTTATATAAAATTTTATATATATCTGTCTGTTTCATTATAGATTAACTATATAAAAAATTAATGACACTTAAGGATATTGTTTATTCTTAGAATAATGAAAACGTATAAATGTGTGTAAGACAACTATATCTGTAATAATCTCATATTTCTAATAACAGTTAGTATTATCTAGAACAGTGGTTATCAAACTTATCAACCCACAGACCACTTAAACCGAATCACAAACTGCAGAGCATCTATGCCCCCATCCATTTCTTATCCTGTAAATATTACCTTAGATAATGATAAAATATTTTGACACACAATCTGTTTTATAACCTAATCTAATAGATACGTGATTCATGAAAACATTCTTTGGCTAAACAGCGTAGAATTGCATTCTGAAAAAATAACTAGGTCAGTCGTGGACCACCTGGTGCATGCTGGACTGCCAGTGGTCCATGGACCATACTTTTGAGAACTACTGATCTAGGGTTAGGCTGTTTATTAAAGCTTGTTGTTATTCACATCTCTTTTCATATGATAAGACAAAATAAGTTTAAAATAATAGGTTTTTGAAGTTTTTAGTGGTATTTGTTTTATATATTTTGATAAAATGGTAAAATAATGCATAAACACTATTTCTAAATAAATATAGTAACAGTGAAAATGTATATGTTTATAAAAAATGAAGTGTGTCATGTTCATGGCAATAGCATTTACATGACAGTATATTAGAAGTATGTATGTTTCTGAAAGCAATACAGAGTCCTTGACTTTTAGACACTATGTTCTTTTATACTCAATACTTTGATATGCCAAAATCAGTTTTCATGTGCTAAATTCAAACTTTTGTACATTTGCAGCTAACAGATAAATATTTAAAGCTATTATACAGAGGCATTTTCTGTCAATTTTGGTTTTGAAAACATCAAAGTTAATTATGAACATTAATTTTTATTGTCTATTTTCTGTTTGCTCTCTGATTTTAATTTTGCTACTTTAATAAGAGTTTTACATTTTTTTTTTCTGGTATTGTGGGAATGGAACTCCTTTTAAAATATCACCTCTACTGTTCAATTTTCATACATTTGATTTTCATATATATATTTTTGGAGTATATTATTATCAAAAGTTGAAGACTGCCTGTATGTAAATGCTTAGTTTACAATATTCTAATTCAATAATACTAATATTCAATAAGTTAACCACTTTGTTAGATGACCAGATTTTCTTAGAACAGAATTTTTATTTCATAGGAATCATTATTTTTAATCTTCCTTAAGCTAACCATCTGGACTCATAATCCCTTTGTATAAAATACTGTATTCTCTTTGAGACATATCATCTTGAATGGGATGATGAAATTGAAATCATGGACATGTACATTGTTCAACATGTTATGCTGTTGCATTAGGTATAAAAATTCATCTCAATCATTTTTTCCAACTTCAATGTCTTCTTTTTTTTCTATTTGACTTTATGGAGAATAAACCTAATTTGCTGTTAATAGCCTCAACAAGTTAGCCTATGCTTTATTCTATGTTCTATTTATTTTTATTAAACCAAATAATGTAACAAAGCCAATGAATTTAATCTTTTCATTAACAGGGATAGATAAAATGGTATATAAACATTCAGTTCATTAATTTGATTTTAATTAAAATCAAACTAAGATTATTGGGCTATGTTAAGGCTTATCAACAATTACTTTATAATTATTAAAATTAGCTTTAATATAGCCTGATAATCTGCTAGTTTGTTTGGCTTTGAAAAAACAATGGTAATTGATTGCAACAAACTTTGGCTCAGATTTGATAGTTTTTGGAATGTGACATGAAAGAGGGATTTGTTTGACCAAATAAAAAAGAAATACTTAAGATATCATCATATCAGAAAAGTTAAAACAGAGAAAGCACATGCCTATTTCAGATTACATTAAATCAAACATTTAAGATTGTATGCATTACATTTTCATATACAGGTTAGTTTAGTGGGATATGGCAATGCAACACATGGGTAAACTTCCAAGGGAGAATGCTTTCCTGAAGGACTCTCTGTGGGAAACTAGCCCCTGTTTAGATGTTTATGCATGAAAAAACCCAGAAAATCATGTCACCAGCCCATTGGTGAGACACAAACCCATGATCAGCTACTACAGTAGTTTTCAGTGGTTTTAATCAACTCAGCCATTGGTGGGCTTTTTCATGTACAGTACACATGTACAAGTGATGTCTAAAAAATTTTTTTGCAGTATTGTAAATCAATACATAGAAATTTTCGAATAGCTT